ATGAAGAACCAGGGCCCACTATAGTATATGTTGTTTCAGTGGTTCTGCCATTTTCTCCTCCCTATGCCCGCCTCCCTCCCCCAAACAAGCTACTTGTGGCTCTGTCCTGTGCCCCATGCCAGCCGGGCAGTGCCTGTTGGTGCTCCTTTGCTTCAGCACCTGGGGAGGTTGCCCCGCTTGCCACCCCACCTTGCTACTTTGAGTACAATATGCTTCTTGCTGTACTCCAAGGATATAAATGTTTAGTGGAACTAGCCTGTCTCTTTTACGTATGTATGAATATTAATTTTATAGTGTATCTAAGGAAGACTTAGAGTGTATATTTTGTTAAATTTATCACAAGCTCTTCCTACATTAAGTTAGTTCATGAAAACGCAGCAACTGAACACTCAGTGAGTATTGGTGTGAGATTTTAAAAGGGCAATCAAGGCAGTAAAAATGGTTGCAGAATGCTGATGTTCCAAACAGCATGCCTGGAATTAGACACAGCACCTACCCCTGCTACGCTGAAATAACCTGAGAGAAGGGATGGGTTTTGAGGAGAGCCCTGAAGTTAATCATTTGGAAAAAGGAGATCATCTCATGTAGTGTTTGGAGATGAAGGTCCTACCATGTGTCATTGGGAAGATAGATTTCCCAAATTTGCAATAAAGTGTTCCATTTGATTTATACTCTGTGCCAGCAGTGTCCAAAGAAATTGGTCTTTCTGATTATCCTAGGTCCTTGGCCTATGCCTGCGTTGTGACAGCCTCATAGTAATTTGTCCCTGAGTTTCAGACCAAACAAGGACAGTTTCTAACACTGTTGTCTGCACGCCTGTTTCCTGCTTCTTTCATAAATTGTAGTTGGGGAGGACTATCTACCCAGCGAATCTAGTGAATGTCACTGACCTGAATATACCATTGCCAGTTGTGTGTGCAACTAGCTCAGTCAGTAGCAGCCTGAAAGTTCAGAAATTGCTGGCATCATCTGGGCCAGTGGGGGCCAACCCTTTTAGCAGGCATGCCACAAATTATGCTCCATGCCCTCTTTGAGTGCCACCCAGTCCTCTTCCTGGGTCTGATCTCTTGCTCTGCTTTGTGCTCCGTGCCCTACCTGCCACTGTGCTACCTACCCCCTTCCCAATCTACTTGTGCTCTCAGCGCTGGCCACGCTCCTCTGGCCTACAGAATCTCTATAATTTTGGGGCTATCTGGTATTTCCATCAGCATTGTCTGCAGTGATTTTGGTCTTTTGAGCCTTCCACAAAAGGGATAGAAAGCCAAGGACATTGTCCTTTCTTAAGACAGTCCTTCTCCCACTGAAACACATGAAAACATTGCCTAAGGCTTCTCCGCAACCACCATCCCCCACTCCTGTCCCCCATCTCTCCTTGTTTCTTTCAGCTTTATTCTTGACCTGACCCATTTCAGACTCAACCTTCCCTGTTAATATTTCTCAGAATCTTTGCCTCTATCTCTTTCCCTTTTGTGTTGGGCTCCCTTTTGTAAATCTCCCTCACCTTGCATAACACTGGCTGGCTCTCCAAAACCTTCTGTGTCCCCTTCCTCACCTCCCTGTGATGTATGGCAAAAGTGCACATTAATAATATATTTTTGCTTCTTTAGGAACAGCTGATAGAGGGAGTAGGACAACATGGAAGTAGCCAGGGCTCAGCTTCAAGAGGATATAGGTGTCCAGATATCCTTAACATGTGGTCTCATGGTTTGAGCACTTTGCTGGGAAGCAGGAGATGTGAGTTCAGAATCTTTCTGGGTTGAAGGGGGCCTACAGCCTGGGTCTCCCACTCCCTGGCCCAGCAGTCTCCTCATGAGGCATTTGGGCTAAAACATGAAAGGGTCTTCTTCCTCCTTGATGCCAGATAGTATTTGTACGGGGCAAAGTAGAATCCAAAACTGTGTGAGTGCGCCAAAAACTAGTTACATGGCTGCATATATACTGTTTAGGTGCATAACGTGAAACAGGATTCTGTTCCGCATGTGCACTTAGTACTTTGCATTACTCAGTTGTCAAAACAGCATGGTTTGGATTCCAGAGGCCTGTGATCTGCCACCTCCCTGCAGGGTAACTTCTGGCAAGTTTCTTCCCCTTTCTGCCTCTGCTTGCCTTCTGTCTCTCTTCTCTGTTTAGACCGCAGAGCAAGGACTCTCTCCACAGGTGTCTGTGCAGTGCTAGGAATTGAAGGCACAGGAGACAGTGCTATTGTGGGTGGGGGTTACAATGTTTGCATTCTGTCTCTGGATTAAGCAAATTGCTGTCACATTTCCTGAAATTAAGAGAATTTAATTAGCAAAGGGTCAAACTCTTCCCTCCCTAGAGCCACACAAGAGGGGCACAGGGCAGTGGTCACCTGTGTGGGAGGAGTGCATAATAGCAACACTAGCTTTGTGGCTTTAGCAACACTGTCAACCCTATTTAAGTGGCATGCTTCAATGATAAGGCTCAAAGCCATTTAAGTGGGTTTGTGGTGTTGCCAAAAGTGATGTTATTACCCTTCCACTGTGACAAAGAGCAGGTACGTTTTGCTTTCCACCTGTTCAGACTGCCATCGCAGGGGTCCTGTGTTTCCTTTCTACCTATGCAGTCTGCCATTGCAAGAGTCAAGCGTTTCCTTGCTCCTTATTTTCTCCCATTGCACTTGATAAGAGCAATACCACTGTGTGGGCCTGGTGCATAAATGGTGCAGAAAAAGTGCCAGATTGCAGCCAGGCAGCCAGGCTGGGGACATGAATGTTGTGATTGTAACTGTAACAGAACACACTAGCCAGGAGAGAGAGATGTCCTAGGTCAGGCTGTGTGCTGAGACTCCAGAGAAATGGGAGCTTCAGCGATGAGGCAGCCAGCCGGCTACTCTCTTGGCAGGGTTCCTGACATTGTTGTCCAGGGAGCAATCTGTGCCACTCCTAGGATGGGGCTTGATGGACTTTGGGGAGGGGAGAGGAGGGGAGTCAGGAATAGAGATGAATGAAATGCCACCAGGAGGTAAAGCCTCCGAGTTGGGAACAGTGGGAGTGGCAATTCCCGCTCCCCCAACCATTAATTTCTGCTTGCTCAACACAAAGCACAAACCAGAGCCAAGAAGATTACGGCAACTTGTTCCAGCCAGCACAAAACCAGCTGCTGCAAAACTGGAGGTGCTCAGAAAATGAGTTTGTAGCCAAGATAAAGGCAGTGAGGACTCAGATTACAATGCCTGGGTGGGTCAGATCTCCTGTCAAGCAGATGTATGTGGCCTTTAGGGCCCGCCTAGGGGAGGGCACAAAGAGGGATGGGCTCTTGCAAAATTGCTTCTCTGGAGTCTGTTTCAAAGCTGTGAGAGATTTTGGGACGCACTCACTCTCTCTCAGACTCTCCTGTAAAACACTTGGCGTGGAAGTACCCTCTGTCTTCCAGAGATGAGTTTTTCTACCACAGATTTTTCCTTGCTGAGTAGCTGCTCTGGTTTCTTGTGGTGGATAGACCAATGTTAAGTGTCAAGTTTGGATGCAGAGTTTGTGCTTTCAGGTAAGAGCGTTATTTCTTGGAGTATAGACATACAGGGTGTTTCCCCTGTAGTGACTAAAGTTAAATGAAAAGGAACTGCTTCAACCTGTGACAACATAAATTAATGCTAAAGCAGGCCCTGGAAAACAAGCTGGATTATATTCTGTGTAAGGGGAATAAGTCTCTATGGATTGTTCTGATTTGATCGGTTTTGATTGTGGTTACTAGTGGGAACATAAATTCAGTAATACGCCCCTGGTTATTTCCACACCATATTGGTTATTAGTAATTCATTCATTTGTGTTAAATGCCTTTGCAGACCTGAAGCAGCTGGGGAAGAGCTTTCAATTCTACTGAATATTAGAAAATAAAAAGCAGGGGCATTAAGGCATTTATTTTTTGTTGAAAGAGTAAATCTGAATTTTCTGTAAGCCAGATGCAGTTCTAATTTTGAGTAAGTAAGAAGAAGATGGCATATGTATAGAGAAAGCAGCTCAGGCAAAGAAATGGGGCACATTCTGCACTCCTTTCACAATATTTCACTGGGTGGTGGGTGTGGAGTGACTGCTACTGGTACCTAACACTGACTGCAGAGTCAGTTCAAGTAATGGGCGACTTTATGGGAAAGACTTGTGCTGTGACTTGCATGGTGTGATGGGGAAGAGAATTCAGGGATGTGCATTCAGCAGGAAAACAGGCTGTTGAGTTGTTACTGTACGCCCCAAATATTTCTTACCAGGCAAACAACCACTTGTAAATCCTAGTTTTGTAGGATTCCAAAGAAAGAGGTAAGTCCTGGGAAGGAAATGTGCGTGCTTTGAGCAATGAACCTGGCTGGCTTCTTTGTGCATCATGGAACTGACCTGATTTCCATTTCGTGGTGCTGGGTGTTGTTTGTTTCATTTCTTCTATTTAATGTTGGTTTGTGGTGATCTCTGCCCTTGATGCTGAACTACTAAGGTCACTTTCTTATTGTGAAGTAGTGCTGAAGTGGCAGGGAAGCTGCCAGAAGTAGTCATAGGCACTTACCTGGTAGTACCTGGACCCCACCCATGTCACCAGTTTGCAGAGGTATAGCCTGTGACTTCCTTCATTTCAGAGGGATTTAGTAACTCTGAAACTTTTCCATGTGCTTCATTTTGGTGTTTGTCTGAAGCAGCATTGAAGACTCCGTTGTTTAGGTCAGTTATTCTCAACCTTTTTGTACCAGGATCCATTTGTAAACATCAGTGGCCAGTCCCCACCCAGTGCCCCTCACTCCTGACCCAGGGCAGCCCCTCAGTGTGGGCCAGGGGGGGGTGTGTGGGACATGGGGAGCCCCAAACACCCTCTTGCAGGAACTCTTGACAGCCTGCAAGGGACAAGACACCGTTTCCCACATTGTTCCCCCTTAAAGGATCATTCATTTTTAAAGTTTGTTTGCAATCCTTTCATATATTCTTGTGATTCCGGGTTGAGAAACACTGGTTTGTGTGCATATGGAAGGAACTAGTTTTACAAACCTGGGCTCTATATATACTTAACACGTTTCCTTTGTTGTTTTATGCGTCTTGGTAAAGAGAAACTGTGGTTTTTGACTGCTTGTGATGTAAATGTTCTCAGTGAAAGGAAAGTAAGGCCAAAATGACACTCTTTACATGCAACTCAACAGACACCTTTACAATAACCTGGGGGAATGATGGAGATATCCACTGTACATAGCAAAGTTGATGGGGCCTGTCCAATGCTTTCTTTAATTCTCTCAATTTAATGTGATTGGTTTCCATTATTTGGTAGAAATTCAAGACAGCTTTGTGTCAGTAAATGTTTTGTTTCACAGCCCAGAAAACTTTGGGCAGTTAGAAGCCAGATGCATTCGTACACACGTATAGTATTGCATTGTTGTTTTCAATATCTATTTGATAGGAGGCGTATAAAATCTGTGTTGGGTGTGCACTACCCTTTTGTTTGGTGTGTTCAGAGTACAAAGCTTGAAGCCCAGTTTCCGTATCTATCTGTTTAACCATCATACACTAATCACCATAAAATCTCAGTATTTATATTGCAAAAAATGAGCATTCACTGACCCATTTTTTAGCAAAAAGGGAACACGCATTTGAAACCTGCCTCCAGTGCACAGAGCTGGCTGATGTGTGCAGCACCTTTTATCCTCTTTCTCTGGTAGACTGGTGTCATTTACCTGCCTTAGCAGAAAACAGTTGCTTTGTATTCTTATTTTATTCTGTTTGATTTAAAACTTTGCAAATGGCCTCAGATTTTGTGGGCCTGTGCAGGAAGTACTCTTGAGATGAATGAAGATGAAGCTCCTTCCTAGAAAGATGTCCCCAGTTATGGCCATCTGTCTCTGACTCCCTCCCTTCCCAGTTCCTTCTGTCTGTTCTTAAACTGTCCTCCCTTCCTTCCCTCATTTCATCCTGCACTGCTCAAATCCAAAAGGCTGCAGGCT